CATCCCTGTAAGACACTGTCATTCTCCCTCTCCACAGCCATCAATTGACAAAAGTTCCTTAGGTTGAATTGGGGTTTCTGAGCCACCTCCCCATGTCTATCCTGGGATTTTTGTCTGACTTGAGCTTGCATAGGACTTGCGCATGCTGTCCCCATTGCTCATTTGTGTGAATGACCAGCTGTCTGGAAGGCTGTGTCCTTGTAGTCCAAAGGGAAATGTCAAAGTCCCACTGAAAAATGCACACACCCAAACAAAGTTTGATTGAAATTCAGAAAAAGAGTTCTTGATTAATGAGCATTCCTTGTGCTCTCTGAAATTAAGTAGACTTTTAGGGTGTGCACACAGTGTTTCCAAAAGTGGAGAGATGGTTCTGTCACCTTCAGACTCACAGAAATAGCTCAGGCTTCCGTTCCTTTCAGCAAGAACTGTGTTCCCTGAAGGCAAGAAACATGAGCAAGAAAGAAGATTCAAAGCCCCACGCAGCCTGGGACTGAGTGAGGAGCACTGTGCTTGGAGCACTACCACAGGTGTTCCTGCAACTGCCGTTTCCCACCCCGCATGAATCCATTCATCTTCCGACTGTGACTTCATCTCTCGTGCTATCAGGGCGAAGATACGCTTTTCTAGCTTTGAGAAATGACCCCTTATGAGAACTTGTAACAGCTCCATCTTTCAATTCTATCAGACACAGGCCTCCTGTTCAACTTCTTGTCTGGGCTCTTGTCCTTTTTTCCTTAGTTTTGAAGATTGTTCATGCCAAACAGAGCCTGCTGTCTGAAACTCTAGTCCTTCATATCTAGATTTTTCTTTCTGTCTTTAGGACTCCTCTCTTCCATTCCTTTAGATAATTTGCTCGTCAGTCATAAAGGATTGAGGAAATAATTGACTTCAGGTGTCATTTTTCCCGAAATCTGACTTTTGTTTCCATCCATGAACACTAGGTCTAGAACCTTAGATGGCGTGTAATTTTCCAGCATCGTGTCAGGACCTGCTCGTCAGTCATAAAGGATTGAGGGAAATAATTGACTTCAGGTGTCATTTTTCCCGAAATCTGACTTTTGTTTCCATCCATGAACACTAGGTCTAGAACCTTAGATGGCGTGTAATTTTCCAGCATCGTGTCAGGACCTGACAGTTTTTCATCTGTGAACCAACACGGGTCCTATTTCCTCAGGCTTTTCTTCCAGCTCAGTCACTCTGAGTTCGTCTCTCCTGCTTTGCACTTTGCGTTTCCTCACTAACTTCTTAAAATCGGTGAGCTCTAGGAAGGGAAAAAGAAAATTTTGTTTGAAGAAAGGCTAATTATTTTAGATCTCACTGGTAATAAGCATTTTTGTAAATTTCAAAGTTTAAGTGTTTCTTATCGTTATTCTACTTTGCAAAACTTTAGTTTACTTCAGTTTTTTCCAGTCAAAGCTGACCTTTTCCATTCCTCATGGTTACAAGTTTCCTTGTCTTTTGAGGAGACATTTGGATTAATCAGCTGCACCAGATAAAAGAGTTAAATAGATCCTCATGTTAGTACTTTCAATCGGTTCACAAATGGTAGTCATATGTAGTGGTTACCAATTCAGAAATTAAAGAATTAAAAGGAAACATGAAGACTCAGAGTCAAGGCACTCCCACAGACAGTAATCTGCATGTTAGACCATGATATTGTACGCTGATGGTTCAAGTGTTTGAGATACGACAGATATTTGGCCTCATCTTACTGTTTTCTTTGTTAAAATGTTCTCACTTAGGTTTGTGCAGATATCTGGGTTTGCTCATCATGTGTGAGATACACCAGTATTAACTATGGATGAGGAGTTGTAACCTTGGCTCTTGAAAAAATACATATAACTGTTTAACTTTCTCTGTTTCTATTGTTATTGTCACGGCCCATGGTTGCACAACAGCTCCCAATGCTGACAGCATGCACAAGTCCTATGCAAGCTCCAACCAGACAAACTCCCAGCAGAGACATGAGGAAATAGGTAAGAAATCCCAACCCAGCCTAAGGAACTTTTGGCAATTGATGGCTGCTGGGAGAGGGAAAGACAGTGTCTTCCAGGGGTGGGACTCTTGGTGGGCCCGCTGTATGGACCCACACTGAGGGCCATTTGGGACACAAATAGAACTCTATAGGCGATATTATATATTTAAGAGAGTACATTAAATTGGGCAGGGGCCAGTGGAGGGAGGTGGGGAGAGGGGAGGGGATCTAAGCACCAACAAACTATACAGGTGCACTTACGTACATGCAGGCAATACATTCAGACACATAAAAAATAATCAAAAAATGTTAATTAAAAAAAGATAATCTCGTATCAGGGACTGCTGTCACTAAAAGTACTTCAAATCATAAAAACTTACCATAGTAAACTTACCAATATTTCTGTGGTTGTTCACTTGCAGATAGAAAACAAGCTGATCACTTTGACCCTCGGTTCTTTGCTAGGAATCTGCCCGGAACCTTTGTGTTTTCAGTTGTGAATCCACTGTAGGTCTCCAGTGACACAGTGGGGCAAGCGTCCTTCATTATTAACTAATAAGCAGTTATCTCTTCAAATTGTTGTAAGCATACATTACAAATCTTTATCATATTAATAATTTTATGGGTGTAGTTCAACAATATGAAGAAAATCCATGTTTTTGTGCAACTAATCTCCATGTTCTCATCACAAACTTTATCCATTAACAACTCTGTGCTCTCCAGTCTTCTCAGCCTCTGTCAATCATCCATGTAGATCCTGCCTTGAGGAACCTGACTACAGTTTCCTTTATCTCATGAGTCGTATTTTAAAAAGTATGTAATTCCATACACATGATAAATGATCATTCTACTTAAACTGCTTCCCTGAGGATAGAACATGCCAAAATTTCCCTTTCCACGTAATAATTATGCAACTTTGTCACACGTGGTCATAAGTTAATCTGTATTCATAATTTTTGAGCAAGCAAGTTCTATTAGAACTAACGGACTAATGATCTCATTGGCTCATAAGGGGGTGTGTGTGTGTGTGTGTGTGTGTGTGTGTGTTGATAGATTCATCTTGTTATTGCCGGACCATGGAAACCTGAATTCTGTCTTGAAACTGTGGGCTTTAGGTTCTCAGAGACCTGGCTTGGTATAGACACCAAGTCCTAGAGGCTGCATAAAAAGTTGAAATGGGGAAGGGGTGCTATGACACTCTGGAATAATATTTTTGATGTGTTCTTTTTAAAAATAAATATTTTCATTAGTTATTTTAGAATTCCATGTAATGGAGTTTGATCATATTCACCCTAACTTCTCCCAGATCCACCCTCCCATCCTACTCCCACATATTCCTATCCTCTTTTTGAAAAAGTTTAATAACCCATTGACTCCAATATGATGTGCTCTTTTTTATTTTTATTTTATGTGTATGAGTGTATTGCCTGCATGTGTGTAAGTGCATCCATGCCGTGCAATGACCATGAAGGTCAGAAAAATGTACGCATGCCCTTTTTGGATACTGTGAATATATAATCATTCCTTTGACTTCTTTATCTTTAATCCCACTGAAGTCACTTTCATTGATGAGTATTACCATGGTAAATTTCATAAGAGACATTTTTGTCTTAGTCTTTCATGTTGCTTGTATTACTGCACTGGAATTTGTCCTGGAGTTAGTTTATTGGTTAGGTCTTTCTAGCTCAGCTGTGTCACCTGAGTGTTTGAATTTATCCTTGGTACTCTCCTAGCTCAATGGATCTCAGATTGGCTCAGTGTGTGTGTGTATCTAGGTGTGTTGGAGGAGAGTGTGCATGTATGAAGATCGGAGGACAACATGTGGGGGTCAGTTTTCTTCCTCCACCATGTGAATTCTGAGGACTGAACTCAGATCATCGGACTCGGTGGCAAATGCCTTTACCTACTGAGCTGTCTTCCCTGCGAAGTGTGGTATTTTTGTGCCTATTAATCATATGTAGAAAGAATATTAAATTTTAATATAATTAGAATTGAAATTTTTAATTTAATGAGGAAATTGTAAAAACAGATTTAAAATCAGGGTTACTTGGATTTCCAAGTATTTTGCTTTATTTTAGATTTCTTGTCCTATGACTACATGGTACCACTTTTTATTTTAATTTTGATGGTTATTGAAGTCTTGTTTTTTTATTTTAATGAATATGAGGGCCTTGCTTTAGCATCTTCAGGTATAACAATTCTTGCATCATAGCAAAATAGTTTTACACAAGCATTGCCAAATTCTGCAGTCTATTCACATGATATAAAATATATGTCTATGTCTTTATTATTAAGAATATTCTTCTTTTAAAGATGAAGGCTATGAGGTGATCATAATAATGAACAGCATTTATGTAAGAGAAACATTTAAGGAATGAGCAGAAAATTTAAACTTCAGTGCTTTAATCATTAAAATCCATTAACTTTCATAAGAAGTCTTACTGATCTCACCATAAAAATCTATCAAGTCAAAAAACTCTTCAAATACCAACAGTGGGAAAAGTTATACACATGTTGATGAGATGATTTCATTTACTCAAAAAGTAGGAGTTGGGTGAATGTCTGAATTGGTGAGGTGCTTACATGCAACCATGAGAATCTGAGTTCTATTCCCAGTGACACATAACTGTAATCCCAGAGCTGAGTTTTAAGAGAGGAGGGTCCCTGCGACCTGCTGGCAAGGCACTCAAGCTGAGCTGTTAAACTCCAAGTTCAATGAGAGACTGGGTCTCAAATATAGAGTAGGATTAAAGTTAGGGTGTGACTGAGGAAGACACTCATCATCAACCTCTGTTCTCCTCTCTCTCTCTCTCTCTCTCTCTCTCTCTCAAAAGCCCACTGAGTTTGCTTAGTGAAGCCAGGATGGACATGGACATGGGTACAGGACTATCTACTGGAGGCTACAGCCCTGATGGAAACGTACTACAGGTTCACACATATATGTGCACACACATAAGCACATACACACATGTATAAACAAAAACAAAATGAATGCATATTAAAATTTTATTTTCTGTATCTGTTGATGTTAATAAATTTATCCTTTTTAGATGGAAAGGAAATGGTTGCTGCAAACGTTGCAATGGGGATTGTCTTCTTCTCCCAGACACTCGTGGGAATCCTGGGTAACTGTTCACTTCTGCTTCATTATTTCATGTCTGTATTCACTGAGAAGAGTTTGATGCCCAAAGATCAGATTTTAAAGCATGTGACATTTGCCAACTTCCTGTCTGTTATCTCAAGAGGAATTCCTCAGACAATGGCAGAGTTTGGGTTGAAATATTTCCTGGATGACTTTGTATGCAAACTTATTATCTACAGTAATAGAGTGTCCCGGGGCATTTCCCTCTACACCATGTGCATCCTGAGTTGCTTCCAAGCAATCACCATCAGCTCCAGCAGCCCTAAGTGGATGAAGCTTAAGCACAGAATGACCAAGTACATCAATCCCTCTTGTTCTGTTAGTTGGCTTGTGCATTTATTTCTAAATAGCAAAGTTACTATGAGAGTAACCAGCCTTGGTAACAACAGAAATTTTACTAAGAAATTCAACTTCGGGCACTGCTCAGGGTTTGGTTTAGACAACATTGCAGGTAAATTCTATTTGTTCTTGATCTGTTTCACTGATTTTCTGTATTTGAGTCTCATGGCCTGGGCTAGTATCTCCATGCTGAGCATCCTCTACAGACACAAGAAGCAGATGCAGTATATTCACAGTGCCCAGCACTGCCCCCGAGTGTCCCCTGAAGCCAGAGCCACCCAAGCCGTCCTGATCCTGCTGTGCATCTTTGTCTTCTTCAACTCAATGTCCTTCCTCCAGCTTCTCTACATCACGCTCTGTGATAATCCAAAGCTGTGGCTCATAAGCATACTTTCATTTTTAGACACATGTTTTCCCACTTCTTGCCCCTTTTTGTTCATCAGTAGTAATGGTTACATTTCCAGGATCTACTTTCCGTCCTGCAGAAACAAATAATTTTCTCTAAATTTGTTGCAAGTCTAGAGGTTTGTGTTTTAGGATATATTCAAATGTCCTTTCGTCCATTATAGAAGGCTGGCCCCACTAATAACCAAACGCTGTGAGGCAATTCAATGACTTTGCCAATTAGGTACCAGGAATTGTCTCAGCCAACAAACAGTGACATAGTTCCATGATATCTCTTTTCAGTCCAAAAGCTCTGAAATTAGGAGTCCTCTAATACTGAAAAATACCTTATATTCAGTGGTGAAACCTCTTGCTTTAAAAGCTAATTTAAAATGTTCAAAAATTTTTAAATGGAACACTGGGCGTGGTGGTGCACGCCTTTAATCCCAGCACTTGGGTTGCAGAGGCAGGCAGAGCTCTGTGAGATTGAGGCCAGTGTGGTCTACATGGTGAGTCTCAGGCCAACTGGGGCTACAGGAGACCCTGTCTGAAAAGAATTAAATAAATAGAAAAAAAAGGTGTTTTTGGTCTTTTTAAGAAAGGGTCTCCCTGTAGCCCCAGCTGTCCTGAAACTCACTATGTAGACCAGGCTGGCCTTGAACTCATAGAGATCCGCCTGCCTCTGCCTCCCAAGTGCTGGGATCAAAGGCGTGCACCACCAGGCTCAGCAATAGAAAATTTTTTAAAACTGCAAGTTTGGAATGGAGATACTTTGTGGGAGGGAATAATGCTGATCCTAGAAGACATGGGCTGTAAAAGAAAAATCCCAGTGCCAGGTATATCCCTATAACCTAAAAACCACAATTACATCATGCCAGAGGCAAAGCCAATAATCATAATTACATCATAACAGAGGCAGGTCCCATAGTTACACCATATCATGGGGCAAGTCAGTTAGCAAAGAGATTTTCAGTTAACAAAATGTTTCTAAGTTTCACATAGGAGAAATACATTTCTCAGAATTGCAGAAACAATGGGCTCCCTGGAACTGAAGGTGCAGCCTCCGCAAGACTCTTCCTTCCCTCTGGTGAGTGCAAGGGGTAGGGCAGAAGCATAGAGTGGACCAAAAGCCAGCTAGGATAAAATTCAGTAATTGTGGGCAGTAGTTAGCTGTGAGTATGTGTGAAGTAGGTATGTGATACAGATTTTGCTGGAAGCACAAACTGGACCACAGTCCTCATAAGACAGTTCAATGGGAGAAATGAAAGAAGGAGAAATTTGAAATATCTATAACTTTTGCATGACTATACATATCTACTCATAGCCTACTGTGCTGAATTTGCATCTTGCAGTCTGGACTAATGGGAAGCAGCATCTAAAGGTTCAGGGTGCTCACTACTCCAGTAGAGCACACCCAGAATCCCAAGCCACCCATATCATCCTGACCATCTGCACACCTGTCACCTCCTTTTCCTTCTCTTCCATCCTGACATTTTCCAAGGCTTTGGGTGATAAGCTTCTTTACACTTTATGAAATAAGTTTCCCCACATTGTTTCCCAAAGTACTCATTAGTAATGTCAATTCTGTCACCATGCTCTATCTCCCCTTCCATGAAAATATATTTGTCTCTGAATGTGTGACAAGCTCTGGTGTCCCTGTTCTTGAATATGATCATAGATTCCTTCATCTTTTGTGCAGGTCTGACTCACTGTGAACCACAGACATGATTATAAAATGTGATGGTTAGTACCAACTATCAACGTGACAGGATCTAGAAGCACCTAGCAGACAAACCTCTGGGTGTATCTGTGAAGGTGTTTCTAGACTGGATTCATTGAGGAGGGAAGGCTCAACCTAAATGTGTGTTGCCCCATTCCATAGGGTGGGATCCAGGACTTTCATCTTTCTCTGCTTCCTTACTTCAGATGTGATGGGACCAGCTGCCTCATGCTCGTGTCGTCATGATGAACTGCATCATCATATTGGGAACTAAAATAAACCCTTCCCTCCTTAGGTTTCTTCTGTCAAGTATTTTGTCACAGAAATGAGAGGTGTAATGCATGTGATATGTATTGGTGGGGGGGGCGGGGGATACACGGTATGGGCAAGGTTTGAAGAGGGGTGAGGATGTGAACTGGAGGAGAGGAAGGGATGGGGATGGGAAGATTAACCAAGTTAAGATATATAACCAAGCCATAGTAAAACTTGGTGTGATGGTGCATGCCTTTAATCCCAGGCAGGACTCAGGAGGCAGAAGCAGATGGATCTCTCTGGGAGACTGCAGTCAGTCTGATCTACATAGTGAGTTCCAGGACACTGAGGCTACAGGGAGACTCTTTCTCAAAAATGAAACAAGACAAAAGAAACTTTATTGAAAACTACCAGTTCATAATCTAATAAAAATAGAGACTTTATAAGTTTATAAATGTATATATGTGTATATAACAATAATAACCAAAGAAACTGACAAGAAATTGAGAGGGAGTTGGGGAACATGGGAGATGTTGGTGGGGGACTTGGAGGGTGGAAATAATGCAAAGACAATCCTCATGTATGAAATTCTTTTTTTTTTTTTTTGGTCTTTTTGAGACAGGGTCTCCCTGTAGCCCCAGCTGTCCTGGAACTCACTATGTAGACTAGGCTGGCCTTGAACTCACAGAGATCTGCCTGCCTCTGCCTCCCAAGTGCTGGGATTAAAGGCATGCACCACCATGCCCAGCCCATGAAATTCTTAAGAATAAAAAAAAATTCTTAATCTACTGTATTATGATTCTATTGAAATCATTTAAAACATTATTTGTCTGATATCAAGATTGCTGGAAATTAATAATATTTTCAAAATAAAATCTAAAGACACAGCCTATAATAAAAAGATGCAGATTGTTATATATAGATAATACTTTTTTTAAAAAGTTTGAATGGAGATACCTTCTGTGAGTGGATAATGCTGATCCTAGAGGACACAGGTTATTAAACAAATATCCTAGTGCCAAGTGTGGAATGCGTCACTAAAAGTTGTTGGCTGGGAAGTTACCAGAAGCCTTAAATACAGTATGAGTTATCCCTATTGCTCTTGGTGGCTCACTAGAATTAGATGATAAGAGCCTATTGCCAAAGACACCACACACATTAGATGCAGGAAATAGAGAAATCACACCAGAACTGAATTAGAAGCTTCCTCCCTACTGGATAACTTTCGTAGAGATGGAAATTGTTATGTATGAAGTTGTGGGAGAAAAGTCAACAATAGTCATACCTAGCTGTAGATCTTACATGCTATTAATACCAGTCTGCCAGGCAAGATGTGCCTACTGATGCAATAACGGCACGACTATTAGGGGTAACCAACCGTGTTCTGCGGTCTGCACACTTCTGTTTTGCTAATTTTGTTAATCTGCCTCTTAAATATTTGTTTAAATTCAAAAACTAGTGCTTAATCAGAAAGCTTCTTTTTGCAGCAAAAGAACCCACAAAAAACAGTTAATACAGTCTTAGTACTGACAATAAGTGATTATTGAATGCTCACCCTTCAAAGGGACAGTCTTCTAATGCTGAGGGAGCACTGAGGAAGAGGAAACAAAAACTATAAGATCCTGATGATGGGGAGGAGTGCTGTGAAATGCCATGTTCTGGGCTGTTGCATCCATGAACTCAAGGCAGCTGCTTTTGACTGCACAAGACTGAGGCCATTGACATTGAGTGATGGCTGAGTGAGAGGCTCATGGGGCCTGACATACCCTCTTAGTGGAGGTATTGGCAGTTGATGTGTGCCAGCAGAGGGGGATTTATTGTCCTCATTGATGTAACCACTGGTAAGCTACTCATAGCTCCATATCCATGCCCATGAAGGCGATCCTGGTTAAACTCAGTGGGTCACCAAACAAACAAACAAAAAAGAATAAAACAAAAAGACATGATGAGTGAGGTGACTTGTTGGGAGGGGGGAGTTGGAGGTTGGGGATTAGATAAGAAAGTGTATGACCATGTCCATATGACCAGAATGTACTATATGCATACATGAAATTGTCAAAAATGAGCTAATAAAACTTAAATAAAAATAATAAATATTGATAAGGAAAGTAAGAAGGACAAATATTATATAATTTCTCTCATATGTGGAATCTAGAGAAAAAGGATATAGAAATAGAAGATGGAATATTTGGGAAGAAGAATGCCAGAGGGATGAGTGGATACGAGAAGGAAATGGGGGTGAATAGGATCACTCAAACCACATGGTGTACATGCATGAAAATGTCACGTTAAAATACCTTATTTTGTATATCTAATATACTTTAAAAAGACTAACTCCAATAGTTCCTAGACTAGGGCTGACCCATTTCCCTCATACCACTCTGGGCCCTTGCCTGGACGAGGGGCAGTAGGCAATACCGACAATCTCTAGATGATTCATCTAGTGGATGAATTTGCACCAACGGACATCTGGGTACAGATGCTTAACTGAATAGGACTTAACATGTATAACGGAATAGATGAGGTCCAGTAGGGGTGGGAGTGGAGGGTTGTGTATGGGGAAATGGTTCTAAATTTGATTAAGAATGGTTGTATGAAATGTAAAAAAGCTCAGGGCTGGAGAGATGGCTCAGAGGTTAAGAGCACTGGCTGCTCTTGCAGAGGGCCCAGGTTTGGTTCTCAGCACCCACATAGTGACTAACAACCTTCCTGACTCCAGTTCCAGGAGAGCTGATGCCCTCTTCTGACCTCTGCATGCATTGCACAACACGGGTACATGCAAGTGACACACTCATGCAATGCACATAATTTTTTTTAATTAAAAAGGATTTGAATGAATATTTTGGATGCAGAGAGTTGAGAGTTCATGAAAGAGAGGCATGGCAGCAAGCAACAGGCATGACCGCAGAAGCCAAATGCTGAGAGTCACATCTCCAACTGCAAACAGGAAGCAGATAGAGAACAGGAAGTCAGATGAGGCTATGGACTCTCAAGCCTACCCAGTGACATGCTTCCTCAACAATGCTGCACCTTATACAGCTCCACAAACAACACTACCAACTGGGGACCAAGTGTTCAAACACGTGAGTCTATGGAGGACATTTCTCATTCACACTGTAGAGCTGACAATGTAGTCCTC